CACTGCTGGGCTAGCCACCATGCCAGCCCGAGGAGAGGCCCCAGGCCCTGCACAAGGCCGCGGTGCTCTTGACCTGAATCAAATAGAGTGGGGGGCAGGGTGGGGTGAGGGGACCAACGTCCTGGGCCCGCCCTGACACTGGATCACAGACTGCCAGGTGGCTTTATTCTTTCACAGAATAAAGGGAGACCAGACGCCCAAAATCAGTGTCCCTGGGCTGAAGGTGCCGGTGGCCGGCTGCTCCGGACACTCCAGGAGGGTTCTTGCTTCCCCCAGCCCGGGGGCTCCAGGCCTCCCTGACCTGCGGCTGCGCCCCCCACCACCTCTGCTTCAGCTGCCCATGCCTCCCCTGGACACTGTTTCCCCATCCATCTGGGTCAGCTCATCCTCAGCCTCCCTCTGTGTGGTGGCATTGAGGGCCCGCTGTGTAATCCTCACCTTTATTCCTGGCAGGTCTCCTGACAAGGCCAGTGCACTTCTGAACGTGGGTGCCCAACACTCCTGCACCCTGGGCCCCCGGGAGGCATGGGTATCTCGCCCCTTCTCAGAGGAGCCACAGGTGGGCTTCACCTGGAGCTGCCCCACCTGGTCGCCCGGACTCTCCACAGCATCCTCCTCCTCAGGGACCACGTGCTGGGTGTCTTCCCCCAGAAAGGGTGCTTTCTCAGCCAGGGCTTGACAGCAGTGCCGTCACCCCATGCCCGAGGCAGAGGCTGCGCCATGGCACTGTGACAAAGAGGTCCCCAGAGGCTAATGTTTGGAAACAAAACAGGTGTCGTGTTGGCCACTTCCTGGAACACTGGCTGGGGACCAGTGCCACACACCTGTGTCCTCAGCCCTCGGAGCAGGTGTGGGGATTGTCTTCATCCTTCCCTGGGGCCCAGGCAACCTCAGCCAACTGCAGGTGCTTGCTATGCACTTAATACCAGGGTGTTTGCTTGGTGCCCTTCACCTTGAGTCTCTGTGAGGACCACACAAGGGCGAGTCGGCAGCTGTTGTAGGTCAACACACAGCTGTGCAGCAGAGGGGGCCCAGGCAGGGGTCAAGCAGAGGTTGGAATGGGCTTTTCTGTTTCTGTGGAGAAACCCCTGTGAGTTTTGAGAGTGATTTGGACTGAATCTGTAGATTGCTGTGGGTAGTGTTGACATCTTAACAATATTAAGTTTTCATTCCATGAATGCGGGATGTGTTGCTGTTAGGCAGGAAAATAGATATGAATGGGGTAGAAAGAGAATACGGCCAGGAAAAAGCCCACTAAAAAGCCCCAGAGTGTGGATGAAATGAAAGTTCCTGTGGCCAGGAGTCTCACCTGGCCCTGGTTGGCTCGCTCACTACACACGTGTGGGCAATACATTGCTATTGACTCTATATGGAGAGCTCCGCCCAGTGCTCTGGGTGACATGGTGGCAGGGCTGCAAGGTTGCAGGAGAGCGGAGACGAGGCTGGAGTGGTGACAGCACGGAGGGCAGAGGCCCAGAGTGAGACAGGCACCGTGGGCTTAGACACAATAGGGTGAGGGCCTCCGGAAACAGCAAGGCAGGACATTGACAGTCAGAGCAGGGTAGCTACATGCCAGGAGACCCCTTACAAAACTCTGTGTTAAGCATTAAGCTCTAGTCATTCTTCAGTGAGCTCAGTTAATATTCCCCAGATAAAGAAGAGTAGCACGTGTTTCTACTATGCTAATCATTTGTAATCATGTGTAAGATTCACCTTAGCGTGCTAAAGGTCCAGGCCTATGTGCTGTCTTTCCTCCTTCAGACCTGATGAGGTGATTTGCAAACTGGGCAACTAATTTAGCAGGCAGACCCAGCTGTAGATGGTATAGTAAAAGGCAGGAGGGATTCCACCTTAGAGATAAGATTGCATTTTAACACCCAGGGAGTTTAAGAAGCAAGATTCTTAACTTACTCTTTAGCAAACAGACAATAACTCAGGCCACCTTGCAGCCCTGTTTGATATGCTCCCGGACCAAGACACTGGTATCCCAGGGAGAAATCAAAGCAGGAAATTCCTTATGTTAAGTTAATTCTAAATATTCAGGGACCACTTAACAGGTTCACACCCCTAAGCTTTTTTTCACATTCCCCAAAATTCTCAACCACCTATAAAATCCCTAGACAACGCACCACTATGGGCTCTTGTCCCCTCCTGGCGGGAGCTGGGAGCTCTGTCCTCTCCTTGAATCTCTCAATAAAAGCCTCTCCCTGACTCTCCTACCTTGAGTGTTTGCTAAGTTCATTCTTCAACTCTGCAAACAAGAACCCCGGCATCAAGAGGACAGCTGTGTGGACGACTTGTGGGCAGAGAGGCCCAGAGGATGGCTGTGTGGACAGAGAGGCCCAGAGGCAGAGACCGGCCTGCTGTATGCAGACTCGCTCTAAGTAAACAGGATTTTAGTGACTGACCTGCCACCGTGGAAATAAAGTTGGGTATAACCCTTTCACCCCAAGACTGTTTCACTGTCATTTCTTTGGTCACACTGAATCCACAGTGAACTTGCCCGGGGCTGAAACCCACTGGCAAGACATGAATACTAAACAATTATCCAGCGCTAATAGCAAATAAAAAAACCTGAACATGCAGTGAAATGTTTAGGAGTAGAGTTGCTGGGTGCTGAGCTTCTACTGTCACTAAAGACTACTTTTCCCCGAGTGTCTGCGCCAACTTGCATTCCCGCCGGTGACACCTGACCACTCTCCTTGCACATCGCGGCTGGTGCTGGGTGAGTCGGAGTCAGCGCTTCATTTTAGCTGGGCTGCAAGGGCAGGGCACCGTGGCTTCCCCCAGCCTCTCTGATGACAAATGGTGTCCAGCACCTTTCCGAGAGCTTACTGGCCACCCACACCCCTACTTGGGGGAAGTGTCTTGCATTTGCTGACTGTGTTTTAATTGGGCTGTTAGGTGTTTGCTATTGGTTTGAAGGAGTTCTTCATATATTCTTCACATGAGCTCTTGCTTGATATATGTAACGAGTATGTCTTTCCTCATTTGCAATATAATCATTTGATGAAAAATTTTAGCAATAAAATGAAAATGAATTCCCATGGACTTCAATCCTCTGAAATGTACTGAGACTTATTTTATGGCCCAAGACATGGTCTGTCTGGATGTCTGCCCGCACCCCTGAGGGACGCTGTCCTGCATGGAGGGCTGAGGGTGCCATCCTCTGCACGTCCCCTGGGTCATCTCTGTTAAAAACTACATCGTTACTAACTTCTTGTCTAATTGTTCTGTCAATTACTGTCAAAGGCCCCCAGAGATATCAGGTCCTAATGTGACTGTGATGTCATGTGGAAAAATTGTCTTTGCAGGTGCGTTTAAGTTAAAGACCTTGACATGGGAGATTGTCCGGGAGGGTCTGGGTAGCCCTGACTGCCATCACAAGTGTCCTTGCAAGAAACAGGGAGAGGGAGATTTTGTTTGAAGTGTATAGACTTTATTTTTCAGAGCGATTTCGGGTTCACAGCCAAATGGAGTGGCAAATAGAATTCCCTTATGCCCCCACTGTGCAGCACCCCCATCAGCAGCATTCCCACAATGTGGTGCTTTTTCATAATGAGTGAACCTTTACTGATGCATCATTACCAAGATCCACAGTCCACTATTAGGGTCCACTCTGTGGGTTTGCACAAATGTATAATGACACCCACCCACCATTGCAGTGTCATACAGAAAATTCCGCAGCCCTAGAAATCCCCTGAGCCCTACCTACCCATTCCCCCTCCCTGACAACCACTGAGCTTTCTACAGCCTTCCTAGCTTGTGGCAGAGGGCGGGGTGAAGGGGTCAGTGCCCCAAGCCAGAGCCTCCCAGGGCTCCAGAGCAGGGAGAGGCAGGAAGGACCCTCCCCTGGAGCATCCACAGGGAGCGAGCCACACCACACTTTGGTATCAGCCAGGGAAACTTACATCAGACCTTTGACCTCCAGCACCTGCGAGGCCAATTTGTGCCGGGCAGAAACATGACTGGTCAGAGAGGCTGGGGAGGCCAGTTGGGCAGAGCTGATGGCCTCCGGCATCCTTTGACCAGGGGTGGAGCAGACCCCAGGCCCAGCATGCCTGCTGTGCTGTAGCTCCTGGGAGGCTCCCGGCCTCACACCTCCTCCCCCTACCACAGTCCCTGTCCTACACATCCTCTCCAGCCCCGAAATTGCCCAGGTACCTGCAGCTGGCACATGGTGCTCATTAGCACATGCTCATGTTAGCAAGAGGCTTCTTTTCTGGACATGGAACCCTTTGAGGACATAGGGACAGCAAATGGCTTTCCCAGAAGAATGCAGTCAGTTGTCTCTTGCACAGTGTTGGGGCACCATGAGCCCCTGCACTGGACCGCCGCTGCCCAGTCGTCAGGACAGCCAGGTTCAGAAGCCCCATCCAGAAGGCACTTACTGCTCCCAGGGCTCCCCAGGGGTTCTGGCCACCCTGGGGTCAGGTCTGGCGCCCCCTCCCATCTCTCCAGCACCCTGGGCATGTGCTCATGGGCTGCAGTGAGGAGGCCTCTGCAGGGACTTTGGAGAGAGACCTGGGCTCATTCTGCTGTATTTTGAGGAGGAGTTGGGCCGTGGCTGCCAGCAAAGGAGCCAGTGAGGGACAGAGGGAGGGAAAAGGGGCAAGAGACAGACAGAGCTGGGCTGTGCACCTGGATGTGGCTGCACCTGAGTGCAGCCCCACCTCAGCACCTGGCACAGGTGAGAGTCGACGCTCTCCACCTTATTGCTCACATTGTGTGTGCACATGTGTAATGTTTCCTGTCATTTCAAGCCAAACGAATACCTTTCTGCATTATTTGAAAAGGTGAAAAGTACACTTGGTCACGTGGCATAATTTGTGACCTGAGTCCCCTGAAAGCACAGCATGGGGGCCCTGCTCCTGGCTCCAGCCAGGTGCTCGGGTGGGGCGCCGCCTCCATCACTGGCTTTGCATGTTTTTGCAGCCCCCCAACTGGCAATGCAGAGAGAAATGACCCCCTCTGCAATTCTGACAGGCACAGGAGTCACGTTTTGAAGGGAACACCTTTTATTGAGCAAGAAAGGACCACGGCAGGGGTGTGGGCAGAGGGGTCCCTACCCGGGGTGGGGGGTCCTGGGCCCTTCCTGGGTGTGGTGGCAGAGCCCATCCAGGCAGCAATGGCCGGGGGCAGGGAGGGCGCACAGTAGAAGCATGGGTGGTGGTGATCGGGTTCCTGCAGTTTGGAGGGGAAGGGAGGGCTGAGGAAAGGGCTTCCCTGTGTCCCCAAACCTCCAGTTCTGGACCCCCAAGCTGCTGAGGCCCCACGTCTCGGCTCACTGTCCCTGTGGGGTGGTGAAGGGGAGGCGGGGGGATGGCCTGGGGTGGTGATAGGAGGGGAGAGGTGTGGGCTTGGGAAGGCAGGTCAGGGGTCAGGGAGCAGGGGCTCCAGCCCCCAAGTGTGTCGCCAGCCCCCTGGCCCTCCGAGCCGCTCAGGCCCTGCAGGCTGAGCTCCAGGGAGGGTCACCCACCTAAGGCTGGGCAGCGGCCTAGTCCTCGAGCCTGCGGCAATCACCTGAGGGCAGAGTGACCTGGGGTGAGCCCCAGCCCAGTCCCCTGCCCACCTGTGACTGCAGGACGGCCACTGAACCGAGGGGGCCTGGGGTGCCACTTACTGGTGGCTTCCACAACCATGACCTGGTCCTTGTGGAGGCCAAGGCCGTCACAGACGCTCTCAAACACGGGCAGGAGCCTTTGACGCATGGCGGGGTTCCGGACTGCGGTGAAATACAGGACAGTCGGGCTGTGGCATGGTGGGCCATGGGCAGTGGGGCCATAGGAGGTCCCAGACGGAAGGGGGTGCCAGGACTGGGGGTGCTGGGGGTGGGGCATCATGGGTGAAAGGGTACCATGGGGATGAGGTACCCTGGGGGACACACGGTGGAGGAGTGCCCTGGGGGTTGCTGTGGGGAGAGGGGTGCCCTGTGGGGTGCCAGGGTGGGGTGGGGCACCAGGGCTGTGCTGTCTGGGACGGAGAGGGAAGTTCTGTGTCTTGGGAAAGATTTGAGCTGGTTTGGGGGAGGAGAGAGCGAGGGAAACCCCTCATTCCCCCGGATGAGGGAGGAGCTGGTGATCCCCCCCCAGTCCAGGCAGCGAGGAGGTAGAGCCAGAGGCGGGCGGGTGGTGGTGGCTGAGCGGCGGGACTGCGCGTGTGTGAGCGGGTATGCGGGCTCGGGGCTGCCAGGGGCCTGGGCCCTGCCCGCCCACTGTTGCTGCCCTGCTCCCCAGGAGCCGGCAAACCAGCCTCCCACCTGCCCCCAGGGGTGCTGCTTTCCATGGAGGGGCGCACGTACCCAGCAGGCCGGCCACCAGGCTGGTTGTGCCCTCATACTGGTTGATCACGTAGAGAATCATGAATTCTGTGGGCTTCATTTCTGCCAAGTAGAGGTGGTTCTGGCCCGAATCTGTGGAGGACGTTCAGGCTCATATGGGCCTCATCCCGAGGGTGACCGCAGGCCCGCCCAGGAAGGACACCTGTCCACTTACTGGGGCCAAGTCCCCATCTGCAAGGGGCAGTGCACAGCCCTGCCTGCCTCATGGGGCCCGGGCACAGGAGTGACCCGGGCCCCCTGCAGTGGCTGCCAGTGCCCAGGCAGGCTGGGGGCCCTGGGGCTGGGGCCCGAGTCCACCTGCCTGCTGGTCCCGCAGACACGCGGGGCCGTGGCTGGGGCACCCCGGACCCGTGCCATGTGGCTCTAAGCCTGAGTTCGCCCGGAGCGGCCCGCGCTGGTCCGCGCACACTCACATTCCGCCGTGAACTCTCCTGCGGTCTCGGTCTTGAATGCGGTGACAGACAGCTCACTGCACTGGTCGTCCTGCCTGTGGACACAGGCAGGTGAGGTCCCTGTCCACCACACCTGTTGTTTTTTAAGTCGAGGTATAATTTGCACAGTGACAGTCACCACTTCCAGAGCAGGGCCAGAAGTTCAGCACTGACACCCTTGAAGGCGTCTATGTGCCCCTTGCTCCGTGCCTCCCCCCACAACCAGCGCCAGCTTCTCCCAGGGCCTGGGCTGGTGTTAGCAGCGGCCGAGCAAGCCCCCTGCCCTTGCACACGCACACTCCCCCACCCCACACATTCATGGGGGGGGCTGGCATGTCCCCTGTGCGGCAGGGCTGTTGCGACATGTGTGCATGGGACACCTGTGTCTGGGAGGGGACAGGACCAGAGCTGAGACCACAGAGCAGGTGACGGGTCCGGAGTCAGACCCCTGATGCCCCTCCTGGGGAGCAGGATGTCGCCATCCCCACCCTGGGGCCCGCCCAGCCCACCCGCCTCCCCGGCCCCCCCCCTGCACCCACGGTACGAGGATCTGTCCGTGCAGGTTGCCATCCTCCACGTCCAGTCTGCTGATGAAAACCCGAAAGCGCCCACTGGGCCTGATCAGAGCCGAGTCGTTGGAGGCCAGGGCGACAGTGTGCCACCTCCCGGAGAGCTGCAGGGTGGCAAGGGGCCAGTGAGGGGTGGGCCACAACCCCCTCTCTGCACCCCCTCAGCACCCTGGAGTGCCCTGAAGTTCTGGCGGGCTCAAAGATCGACCCCGTGTGCCCTGCCTGCCACTTCATGGCTAACAGACTGGCCAGCGTGAGTGGGCCTCAGGGTATGGGGGTGTCGGGCCATCACCCCCTTGGGACTGAGCTCAGAACTCCTTCCAACACCATAGCAGGGGCTCCAGGCCCCAAAACTTCTCCTAGACTCCCCCAGACTCCCCTGCGGCTGGCCCATTTATAAGTTGTGCAGAGGTGCCTATGCTCCAGTCCCATGTCCTGGCCTGGGTCTGTCCGTGGTCCCCTCTGATGCCTGTTGGCATCTGTGGTAAGGGGGGCCTCTCAGCCCTGCTTCTGGCACAGACTTGGACAGGGTGCCCCTGGCTGCCTGAAGCTGAGATTCTAGCCTGGAGCCCAGCTCCCAGGAGAAGCCCCACCTCAGCCAGGGGGCCAGGCCGCCCACCGTCCATGCGGCTCACTCAGGGTGTGGCCGCCTCGAAGCTGCTGGGAAGCTGAGGCTGTCTCCGGCCCCGCTACACCTGGGAGCAGCCGGCCCCCACACCCCTTTGCCTGTTACCTCCACCAGGTCGCCCTGGGGGTCCAGCTCTTTCTGCTCATGGTCCTCCCCCTGAGCCTGGAGGCCACAGACCAGAGCCAGGCCCACGGTCAGAAGCAGGAGCTGCATCTCCACCGCACCGTCTGTCTGGATCACGACTGGGGACTTACTGGCTGCAGTGACCCGGCCTGCACTGGCCTATATAGCTGCCCGGCCCGGTGTGAGGTCACGTAGCACGTGCTCCTGCCCTGGCCCTGGAAGTGGGGGAGCTTAGATCTTAATCCTAGCGTCTTAATCTTAACGTTAACATTAGCCAGCTCTTGTCTGTTCTCTGTTGCTTTGGACACCCAAAATGTTATGTTCTCACAGAGCCGATTTCCAAAATCAACAGACAGCTGTGGGCCAAGCCAGCTTCCGGGCCTGCATGGTGCTGAAGTCACCTTGACGTGTCCTCCGCAACTGCCACGTTGTCAGGACATGGCCAGGGACACAGCTGTGGGCAGGTCTGCCAGTGGGCAGCGGGGACGGGGAGGGTGTGTGGGCTGGGGTCTCAGGTGCCTCCCATTATGATGAGCTCCGCGGGCCCCCTGGGAAGTTGTCTGCAGAATGAGGTCAGTGACTGTGATTTGTGCTGGGCTCACTTGTGTCCTCCACAAAACACACACGTGAGCTCCTAGTCCCCAGGACCTCAGGATGGCACCTCCCCTGGGAAGGAGGTCTTTACAGATGTAATTAAATGAGGTCAGACAGCATTTGGTGGCCCCTCAATCCATCACTATCCCCCCAAGGAACGGTGCTGCCTCATGTGAGCCCAGTTAGACCACAACCCTCATTCACCCTCTGGGGCCACAGTGGACTTGGTGCTGGGGAGACAGGGTCAGGGGTGGACTGTTAATGCCTCTGCCCCCTCTCTTGGGGTCACAGACCTGGCCATGCATGGACCTAGGCCAGGGCTCTTTCCCCGACACCTGGCCCCATCCATGCCTCATTCATTCTGGAGCTCTAAACTCCACAGCCCCTACAAAGCTGAATTCAGTGCGTGCAGGACAGGGAGCGAGTGACCTCAAGGGGGCCTGTGGGTCCTGCGAGCTTGGCTGATGGGGACCCTGACAACGATGGCCTCCCTGCCTCTGAGAGGGTGGCCTCAGACATGGCCAAGGCCACCTTCCACCTGCTGCTCAAACCTGGCCCCGTCGGCTTGGTGACGCCAACAGGACACTTTGAAATGTCAGCGTTAAGAAAGAACAGGGAGAGGCCCAGGGTCTGGGGCACAGCCTCAGCGCTGCCCATGCGGACCCAGAGCCCAGCCCCAGACCACCCCCTCACCTGGAGGGAGGAAAGACTGGTGCACGGGTCCCTGGCCCACAGCAGATACAGAGATTGATGATCTAACTGGAGGTATTTGTGTGCCAGATTCCTTCAGGGGCTGAGAACACACTGCCTTCCCAGCAGACCCGGAGCGACGCCTGGGAACGCAGCTCCTGCCCAACAGCAACGCACAGCACTGACTGAGCCAGCCGACAAAGCGCACTGCCTGGCCGTGGGCTACTAATTTGCATTATTTATGGCCTTAATCCACATAATGGCCTACCCCTATCATCCACAGATTGCTTGTGTGGAAACTGAGGCACAGACAGGTCAAGGACGTGGCCAAGGTCACACAGCGGGTCAGTGGCAAAGTGACCCAGGGTCTTCAGGGCAGGCCGCACACCCCGGGGCCAGCTTCCGTGCCTGGATGTTTGCTGCTGGTGGGAAGGAAGGAGCCACCCCTCCAACAGCCCCACGTTCACCAGGAAAGAGTGGGTAGGGACTGCGAGGCTTGTTAAAGCAGACCAAGGGAGGGAACAGGGGGTGCTGGACCGAGCTGGGGCTGAGCCCCGGCATGCGCCCCGACTGTGACAACACCACGCGGGGCTCACCGCAGGCCTGCTTGTGGATTTGTGCGTGTGCACCCAGAGGACAAACACCCGAGGATCGTGGGGCGTCTCAGCGCGCTTGGGACAATTCCTGTGGCAGGGGTAACAGTGAGACAAGCTCGGCAGGAGGCACAGACACCCGAGGGCCTCAGGGTCAGTGGGGTGCTGTGCTCACCTGTCACCTCTGACCGATTCTGTTGAGTTTGGTCACGCGTGACCCTCAGGTCATTACCGGCTGCAGTCTGCCCCCGCAGCTCAGACCGGGGTCCTGCTCTCTTTGTCTCTGACAGGGTCCTATACGCCTTCCAGGGCAAAGGACGAGGTCAGGGTACTAGCAGAGATTCGAGCCCCAGCGACCTTGGCAAGGGCAGGTCTCCCACCCTGCACCCTCCCAGGCCCTCCCTGTGGACTCAGGATACCCGCAGCCCCTGTGGGCCACGCCCTCCCCGTCTGGGGACGGACACATCCCCCAAAGGCCAAGTGCAGGGCCGGGAGGAGAGGGAGCCCGTGACGGCTCCAGATGGTGGGGGGCCTGTTGGGGTGGGCAGTGCCCTCAGAGCCCCTCCCAGGGTGGTTTCATGTCCTTGGGTCAGACCTACGAGGGCTGGCCTGGGACTTAGCACCTGCGTGGCCATGAGGTTTCCAGCCAGGGAAGGCTGTGCTCCCACATGCAGCGGACTCCTTCCCAGCCTGTCAGCCAGCGTCCTTTGACCTCATATCTTTGCCGTACACTTCAACAGGTCTGGCCGGGCTCAGCTGTGCTTGCTGTAGCCATTGGGTTGTTCTGCTCATGTGCCAAGGTCACGTCCATGTCAAGCCGTGACTTTGCTGGACCTGACCTGCCTGGCCTGGCTGTGGCCCCTGTGGCCCTGGTGTTTGTGGAGTGTGGTAGCGCTGAGCGGGGACCATGTCATCCAGCCATCAGCTCCAGCCCAAAATGCCCAGCAATGCCCCAGCTTTCCTGGACCCCTGGGCTCGGGGCCCACAGCTCACTGGGATGGGATTCTAGGCACGTTTCTTGGGAGTAACTGAAAACTCCCAGCTTTGGGAGGGCTTGGAAAGTGGGGCACCAGGTAGGCACACAGCAACAGCATGCATGTTGTGAAGGAGAGGACAGCGTTCCCTCTCTGGCAGGGTTTGGCAGGGCCGGCCTGGGTTACCCATCCCCACAGGGTCTGGATGCACACTCAAGTCATCCCAGGCCCTAAAGCCAGTTGAGGGTCTGCCTGCTTCGTGACGAGGTGACACCAGCTGGTACAGACGGGGACCTTCTGGGGAGTTGCCCACACCCATCCCCCAACAATCGCGCAGAGCTGGCCCCCTCCATGCCGAACACTTTGGGTCTGGGGACCTTGCCCCTCCTTCCTAGCCCCTGTGCCCCTCGCTCCTAAGCCTGCTGTCTCCCGGCCGTGCGTGCTGGCCTGTGAGCTCTGCAGCCAGACCCTCCCCCTGGCCCTCCCTGCAAACTGCATGCTGGGGATCGTCCCACGCTCAGAGGTGGCAGCAGGGGTGGGACGCACAGGGCTGTATGCCTGGCGCAGGGAGCAGTGTGTGTTTGGTGGGCCCAGCCCGATGCCACCCCTGCTGCAGACCCTCTCCAGTGGGGACGGACTCCTTGGGTCCGGCTGCCCCTCTGCCAGGGGCTCCCTCCTTGTCACGCACATCAGTGTTCAGGACCCTCCTCCTGCCCTCAGTCATCCAGAAGGCCATGGGGGAAATTCAAGGTGAGAGAAGGCAGCTCATGCCTGGGGGCTGCTGGGGCTGGGAGAGGGCAGTGGCCCTTCCTTCCTGGCCTCCCCCGGCTGGCCCTGCGGTCCCACCCCTCTGCACTTAGAGAACAGGACTCCAGAACTGCCCCTGCCCTGGGGCTTCCCACACTCAGGGCGACTCGCACCACTGTGGTGGGAGGCATCCCAGGGACCCTTCACAGGGCCCTTCTTAGGTCATCCAGGAAATTCAGGACACGGAAGCCTGCCCGACCCAGCACCTGATAGCGCCCCGTGTGCTGGGCGCTCTGCTCCGCCTGGCAGCCTGATGCCTTTCACGGGCCTCCTCAGGCAGCGATGTGACAGGCTGGCGGGGTAAGGCGAGCGCATCGTCAGGGCTGCCGGCATCCTGTGTCACTGCCAGCGGCACCGCCTCTAATCAGAAGGCAGTTGCGGCTGGGGCCCAGGCCCCCACCCGGGGTCACACTGGCCTTTTGGAGGCCGTGGGTGTCTCTCTGCTCACCTAGTGTTGATGAAGCCTCACCTTTTACCTGAGTCTTGACCACAGCCACCCAAATGCCAGCAACCCCAACCGAGTCCTGTTTTGCCCTGGCCCCTGACCCCCAGGCCCCGGGCCCCAGTTTCCCTGCCCACTGCACCCACTGCCCACCTGGAGGTCTCCGGGTTGGGTTGGGCTGCAGGAGCCTGCACATTGGGCACAAGAGCCCCACTGAGACGGCCGGGGGCCTGGGTGCAGTCCCTCCCTGCACCTCTTTCTGGGTGGGGGCGTCTTCTATGGGGTCCCAGGGCCTCTGTGTCTTCATGCACTGTCGTCCCTTCTGGGCAGCCCCTGTTCTCCCCAGATGCCAACTTTCCACATCAGCAGGTCCCAGCAGTGTGGGCAGCTTCCCACTCGTCCCCTGCCATGGCCCAGCAGGCTGGACCGAGGTTCTGGACAGAGATGGAGGCCAGGCTGGCCGTGGGAGTGCCGGGCACCCCCCCAGAGCTCTGCCCATCCGGCGGTGCTGCTCTGTCCCAGCATCGGGCTCCTTTGGAGGGGGCGCAAAGCCCTCTGTGCCCCAGAGCCCGCAGCACCCGGCCCTGGCCCTGGAGCAGCCACCTCAGCTACGATGAGCAGACACTGGTGCTGGGCGGTGGCTAGTTCCCCCCGAGTCCTGGACTGTGGCATGAGGGAGACCCCCCTGGGACTGGCGTTCGATCCTGCCCTGCTGACTTCAGCCGGGGCTGGCCAACCGACAGGCCCGTCCTGCAGTCGGCCTTGGGGGGCTCTCAGGCTGTGCTCTCCCGCGGGCCCAGCTGCTCTCACACTGGGTGTCAGGGTCAGGAAAGCCCCTTGTGGCCGTGCCCGGCCTCCCCGCCCTCCAGCTGTACAGCCCCCTGGGGAGTTGGGGCCGGCGGTGAAGGCAACACTGGGCGGGCAGAGGGGTCTGGTGGGCAGGGCCGCTGGTGTGAGGCCCGGGCCCCAGTCCAAGCCGCTGCACCATGAGGCCAGGGCTGGCTTGGGGGGTGGTCCCTCTGGACCCACCAGACCCACCCCACGGGACCGGGGGAGGCAACGGGGAGCCTGTCAGCCTGGGAAGGAAGGACAGACACTTTCTCTCTTTCCCTTTTACTCTGAGATGATGGCAGTCTCCACGCAGCGTGAGAGTTCGTAGAGACCCTGGAGCCTCCACCCGTCCTCCCAGGGCAGACGACTGGCAGGACACCACCCAGCCCTGACATGGTACAGCCCGCTCACACACAGTGGGTGTGAGCCTGAGTGTGTTTAGGGCCTGTGTTCCTTTGCACATGCAGGTTCCTGCATCTACTGCCACCGTTCAGATCCAGAACTTTTCATCCTGCGAAGACTCGCCCTGTGGCCCTTGTGAACCACACCCTCTTCCATCTCACCCCGTCACCACCCCAAGCCCTGCAAGTCACGGGCTGTATCTCCTCCTCTGCAGCTTTGTCATTTCGAGAGTATTCTACGGTGGAGTCTAAGCGTGGCCCTGGAGGTGGCCGCTTTCTCCAGACACGGCTCCCTGGGGATCATGCGGACGCCCCGTCTGCACGGAGCCGCGTCCTGTGGTGTGGGCCTCTCTGTCAGCCCTTCACCTGTCGAGGGCCATTTCCTTCCGAAGGCTGTGGGCAGGGCTGCTGTAAACCCTGACGCCTGCAGCCTGGGAATGGGACCTTCTTTGGAAAAAGGGTCTGCAGATGTGATGAGGGATCTTGAGATGGGCGCATCCTGCATCGTCCAGGAGGCCACACCCAGGGACGCATTGCAGACAGGAGAGGAGAAATACACAGGAGAGGCACGGGGCTGGGAGCCAGAGGGTGGGGGGACACAGCCCCGGGCCGGAGACGCCGGGGACGCCAGGGGCCACCGGGAGCTGAAGAGGCAGGAGGCGTGCTCCCTTGGGTGCGCAGGCCTGCTCACACCTTGGCTTCAGGCTGCTGGCTGCAGAGCTGGGAGAGGGGGTCGCGGCAGCTCCAGGCCCCAGCCTCTGGTCCTCTGCCACGGCAGCCCCACCCAGCCCCCCAGGGAGGCTCGCGCACCCAAGGCCGCGGCTCCTCTGCCTCTTCTGTGTGAAGCAGACTTCTGGGAAGGCAAAGCCAGGCTCTCAGGGGGGTGCCGGGGCCACCACCCCGGTCCCCCAGCCCTGGGCTCCTCGTGGTGGGGCTGCTCTAGAAACTTCCGTCCTCAGAGCCCCCTTGCAGGCCTTCGGCTGCCGGTGGGGGGGGCGGCGAGGCCTTCCTTGGGTGCCCAGGTTGATGTTGTTTTGGGGACCAAGTCCATATTTTGGGCAGATTTTTTCAAATCTGTTCAGGAAGCTGGAGTTCAGCTCTGGGATCCATCCTGAGGACAGAACAGCAGGGGCTGGGGTCCCTCTCAGGTCATTTGGGACGATGTGTGGGGCGGGTCTGGGGGGACATGGGCAGCGCTGAGGCTGTGGAGGGAGGGGTCCTGCGAGCACGGGGTGTGGACATGCGTGGGCAGCTGGACGTCCGCTCTTGCCCCTGATTGCCCTGCTGGGGCCAGAGCCTGGGGGCAGGGCGAGACCCCACCGGCGGCGGGCCAGGTACAGTAGAGAGCCAGCACGTGCGTCTCTGTCCCGCTCGTGTCCAGCAGGTGAAACGTGGTGTACAGCCTGTAGTCCGTCTCCAAGAGGGTCACCCTGTTGTCCCCCTCATCTGTGTGGCACGGACGCTCAGCTCAGAGTGGCCCTGGCCCCCAGGTTGTGCTGTGTGTCCGTGGTGTGGACGGCGGGCTCGGTGGGAGGAGAGTTTGAGCAGGTGCTGGCCTGCTGGCCCCTCACAGGCTCGCCTCCTCTGAGACCCCCGCTGACACACCTGCTTTTGGGGGACTGCCGGGAGCCCCTGTGGGGGTGGGCAGGTGTCCAGGGGTCCCATGTAATCCCCTACATCTGAGCTGGGCAGGAGACGGCCAGGCCCTGAGGAATGGGAGCTCTGCCCCAGACGGGAGGCTGGGCCACTCACAGGTGATGGTAAACTGCCCACTTTTCTCCACCTTCCTGCAGATCACGTCCACCGGCTCGCACTCCCCCTGCACCCTGAAAACTGGCATGGGGGCAAGGCCAGCCCCGCCAGAGCTGTGGCCCACCACCGAGCCCACTGCCCGCCCGGTGCGTCCACCCCCACCTGCGTGGGCTCTGCTCACATGAAGCGTTAGCAGAATTTCAGACTGCCGTCCTCTGGGCCCTGCAGGTGCCGCATGAAGACCCGCAGGTCCCAGCTCTCCTCAGTCCGTCTCAGGTCGCTCGAAGCCATGACGACAGAGTGCCAGGTCCCGGAAACCTGTAGGCGGAGGCCCTAGACGGCAGCCCATGGGATGGCCTGCTTCCTGGTGCCTCCCTCCAAGGGACAGGCCCCTGGGCAGATGGTCCCAACCAGGGACCCCTGCACTCCCAGGGACCCCCTGTCCTCCCAGGATACCTCCATCCTCTCAGGGACCCCCTGTCCTCCCAGGGCCCCTTCTGTCCTCTCAGGAACCCCCTGTCCTCCCAGGGACCCCTCTGTCCTCCCAGGGTCCCTGTATCCTCCGAGGCTGTGTTATGGTTGGGGGAGGAGAGGCCAGCTCCCCCAGGAGTACAGTCAGAGCCCCCCCTTTGCAGGAGGACAGTCGCCCTGCACTCCAGCCCTGGGGAAGGCCTGGACCCCAGACTCACCCTGGCCAGGTCAAAGTTGCTCTGCATGACAGTTCGAGGCTTAACTCCCAGGCGACCAGAGTCAGCCCCAGGCTCAGCGGGAGCAGAGCTGTCCCCCCCTGTGGCCTTAGGCCCACCCCCTTTATAACCGTTTCTGCGCTGCCGTTTTCAGCCCCCACAGCCCGGCTCATCCTGTGCACGTGCACCTGGCACTGGGAACGCAGCCAGTGGCCCTGCGGCCGCCCAGGCCACCCCCGGGCTCACTTAGGGCTCTGTCCTGCTGGGTCGGAGGCCACAGGCAAGTCAGGACAGTCAGGGCGCTTCCCGCCAGTGGCAGAGGACCCTCCGTGCCATCGGGCCTGAGCAGCAGAGGACTGTTCCCTGCCCCCCGGCCTGGGTCGCCTTCCCATGTAGACGCTCCTGTTGACATCTGCTCCGTGAACACTGGGCAGATGAGACACCGAGATGTGCACACACACTCCACCCCCTTCAGGCAGCGGCCTCACCTCCCCATGTTTCTTGCTGGTGGAGGGGCGGCCATGTGATACCCCGCACGCGGGAGTCTGAGCCGCACATCGGCCCGAGCCTGGGAGCTCACCCTCTGCCCAGACTCCCTGGAAAATGCATGGGCATTTGGGGCCCGGCAGGTTCAGGGAGAGGCCGAGGGTGCTGTCAGGAAGGCAGCCTGGGAGGATGCCGTGAGCGGCAGTGGGAGTCTTGCCCACCGCTGGGTGTCCCCCTGTCACCGATGGAGGAGCCGAGCTGCCAGGCACAGGCCCGAATGTTTCTCTTTGGCATCAGTAGTGGCTGAAGCCCTCAGAGAGGACTCGAGGGTACCTGGAGGTGAGCGGGGCTGGCTCCGGCCTGCAGCCACCTTCCATCGCCACCATCCCCAGTCCTGGGGGGCACTGGACAGCACACAGGATGCCAGAGAAACAAGGGGCATGTGCGGGAAGACCTCTGAGTCCCATGGAAGCTTGCTTCCCTGGGGGCCTGGTGGCCTGAGGAGAAGGAGCTCCATCGGCCCTGGAAGGGGACTGCCCGTGCCCTCGGGAGGCCATGTCCCTCCCTGGTGCCAAAGGAGAAGTGGGGAGCCTTGCCTCTGGACCTCACTCCAGGGGATCACCTCTGAATCGGGGGTGCGGAGGAGACCTGCCCCCAGCCACACCCTTCCTGTCCTCCTAGGGACTTTCAGGGAGTGTCTGCCAGGCCCCTGAAACATGCCCCACCTGGCGCAGGTCCCTGCCCACATTCTCCGTCTCCTGGCTTCCCAGGAAGCTCCAGTTCCAGGAAGCCTTCCCTTGGGGGGGATGACAGCCTGGGGGACCCAGGAGGGGCCACACTGGGGGCCAGGACCCCGATCCCCTCACAGGGCCCCAGGCCAGAGGGAGGTGCCCTCTCTGGAAACTGTAGGGAGAGCTGGCTGCATCCCTGGATATACCCATGCCTGCCTGCATTGGGGTACATAAAAGCTCTTGTGGGTTCGATAGAACTGACCTCCCCCACGTACGTCCACCCGGGCAGGGCTCCCTCCAGGGAGCAGGTAACTTGGGCAACTGTGTCATTGTGTTTTTGTGGAGGTAAAAGTTGCATGCAGGGAAATGCCCAGGCTCTAGATGTGCAAGGGATGTGTGACACATGCAGGCACCCAGGTCTAGATGTGCAAGGGGTGTGTGACACATGCAGGCACCCAGGTATAGATGTGCAAGGGGTGTGTGACACACGCAGGCACCCAGGTCACCCTGCCAGTCAACACGTGGAACATTTCTGCTGGCCTCTTCCAACTGTGATAGGAATCACAGTTCTGATCCTATCAGAGAACTTCAAGAAGCTTCCATATCCCCAGGCCTGAGGTGGCCTGTCTGGAGTCCCCAGGCCTGCCGGGAAAACCTGATGTCCAGGGCCCCATGGTTGGGGGTGGGGGAGCTGCCTCTGCACTGGGGGCTGCGTGTCCTTTGACCTCGTGCTACCTTAGGTTTGTTGTGGGTGAAGCGTGGTCATGACATCCCCTATACTCAAAGCCTGTATCAGTGTCCTGGGGTCGCCATCACGACGGACTGCAAACAGGGAGCTCAAAACAACAGAAATGGATCCTCTGTCAGTTCTGAGGCCAAAGGCCGAAATCAAGGTGCAAGCCCCAGGTGCCCTCTGACTTACAGCCATGTCCCTCCCGTCTCTCACACAGCCTCTCCTGTCATCAGCCACTGGATTTAAGAACCACCAGTTTTACCTTCACTACCTCTGCAGACCCAGAGAGGCAGGTGGGGACGGAGCCCCCAGGATGGGCCAAGTCCTGTTGGCATGAGGGGCTTGGTGTGGCACGGGTCGGGTGCTTCTCCGCTGACCTCTGGGTGCCCGACAGCCTGTGCAGAAAGCAGTTGAGGCAAGTGCAGAAGTGAGAACTGGTGTCTGTCTCACTCACGGACTCAGATTTGGAACGTCCCAACGTAACATCTGCAAACCGGCCCTAGTTTTGTGGTAAAGCAGCATATGTCATACCCAAGTGGAATTTATCCCAAGCACAAGAGGGTCATTCAAACTGGGGGAACGTTTTAATGCAGTTTGCCCCTTTAGCAGTTGAAAAAAGAAGACAGTAAAATCATTTCCCAGACACCAAGTTATTTTTGTTAAATTCAGCCACCATCCACGATAAAAGGCCAAGCAAACCATGGCACTGGTCTTGGTTTGATCAAAGGCTCCCACAGAACCTTCTGGGCAGCAAACAACACATGCCTGTCGGGGAAACAGCAGCGTCCTTCCAAAGACAAGGACAGGATGAATGGACAGCTGCTGGCACGCTTCTCTTCCTGAACTTGGGGTGCCACCAAAATCAATACAGGAGGCAAACAACCGGGAACAGTATGTATTGGAAGAGCCCCACATCTCCGTGGCCCCGCGGTCACCGCCTCCCCGTGGCGAGGTGCTTCGCCTGCTTGCACCCTGGCCTGGAGGAGCTCAAGGCTGGGCTCCAGCCCCTGTGGGCTACAGGGCAAGGCGGGGCCGGCCATTCAGAGAGGGCACGTTGTCTGTCTGGTCCTGGAGTTCAGAGGCAGAAACAGTCCAAAGGCAGACCAAGGAGAGGAACTGAGAGTCACCACACACACTGACCACAGCCCGTTTGGCCTGGAGGAATGGCAGCCCTGTGCACAGGTGTCTTCACAGATTTGCCTCCAGCCTGAGAGAGGACAAGATGTCCTTTCAGGAGTTTTTGGGAGCGTCAGGCCTGGACCAGTGCTGACGGGAGTCCACTGGCCAAGGACCAGGAGGCTCACGACCCCCTCAGACCCTCGTGGATGCTGGGACATCCGTGGCTGCCTGCCTCTCCTGATCCCCCCCTGTCCTCTCTCCCAGCATAAAAGTTGCTTGAAACCAGCCCTCAGTTAAGGTGGGCCTTCAGGACATTAGCCCCCATCTCCCAACCTGCAGGCTGACTGACTAAGGCTCTTTCTGTACTCGACACCTCATCTCTCGGTGTACTGGCTGACCTGGGTGCCAGCGGGGCCCAGCGTACACTGGGAAGACTGGTAAGTGGCTGCTCGCAGGAGCCACGGTCTTCCCCAGTGCAAGTGCAGACCTTTAGAGGGGCAGCCGACAAGGTCTTACCCACCCTGGTGAAACACATCACGCAAAACGAGCAAGACCCCTACCAAGAAAACAACAATCTTCGCTGAAGAACCCAAAACCCTTTGAAAGCAGTGGAGATGCGAGCGGTGTTCTCGGGGGAGACTGCCTGTGATGGAACCCCCCTTCCCTACTTACCTATGGGCAGATCTGCGCAGCCGACACAGTCACAGCTACCGTCCTGACAGGACAGCTTGTGTTCCCAAGACAATTCCCTAAAACGGGAGAACGGTAAGTAGTCAAAACGTTTGAAATAAACCTCACGTGCATTGGTTTGCTTTGCTGCCCTAGGATACTCAAGAAAGCTTTGCACAGCAACATGGGATAAATCTCAAAATAATTTTGCTGAGCAAAAGGCACATAAAGAGTCCACTTAGGTGAAATTCTGGAGAATGCGTGCGATCTCTAGTGGCAGCCAGCATGGCAGCGGCTCCCTGGGGCGGGGCGGGGTGTGAGGAGGGCAGGATTAAGTCAGTGGGGCAGAGTCCGAAAACAGAAATCTGTTTCATGACAATGTTTCTCTTTCAGATTGGTGGAGACGGGGCCACTGGGGAAACGGTGGAGGGCGAGTGGCTCTCCCCTCGCAGAAAAGCACAGCACCCCCACCTCCAACCCAAGGTGCCATTTTGAGGGGTTGGGGGACAGAGGCAAAGCAAAGCCTTAGAAGGAGGCATTGAAGATTACTGTTAAACTTGAAGTTGGAGGGGACTTTCTGAGCAGGACACAGAAGCTGGGAAGAGCCATGGCAGTGTAGAGACCACAGACAGATGCGGAGACCCGGGGCCTCCAAACCCTGCAGAGGGACTTACCTGGACACAAGGTGTGAGGGGCCTTGTCCTTGGGGCTTGTATCGTGGCTGAGGACCGTGTGTCTCTAACCCAGTGCCCAGGATTAGGGCTCATAGCTCACAAAACATTAACACAGCAGGCGGGGCAGTGTAGAAACAGGGAGCAGGGCAGCTTCGGGCTGCAGCTGGATGGTCTGGGCAAGCGGGGGCTTTACTTGGTGGCCTGGGGCTGTGCGAGGTGTCCCCTGTGGGGGAAGGGGCTCTGTGGCTTGAACCTCCCGCTGATGCCAAAGGAGGGGCATCTGGGTTTCTGACCAGTCTGCCCACCGTGGAGCAGCGGGGGAGGAGCAGGGTGCAGTCAGGCCCAGAGAGGGCACCCATGGGGGCCTTCCATTCGTCCCTGGAGGACTCCCAGGGAAACTGGCAGAGAGGGGTGACCACGTCCAACCTTGGCCGCTTGAAAAGAGGGCACAGTCCAAGTCACTCTTCTCAAGGACTAGGTGTAAGGGCGGGGGTCCTGGGCAGTGCCAGCCAGCCCGGGTCTGTTCCCCTAGGGTGCAGGCAGTCCCACGCCCCAGGAGTCTTCTGAGAACCCCTGGCCTTACAGCCGATGTGCCCTCCTACCGTCCATGCGCCCTCCCACGGCGGACAGCACAGGGGTAGTGGGGACAGAGGCAGAGAACTGGTGCTGCAGCCACCAGCTGGGGTGCATCGAGGACGCCACCACCGAGGCTGGAGAGGGGGCACAGCCTGCCCACATCGGACTGTGGACGCCAGGCCTCTGCCACCATGCAAGTGCGGCCCTGTTGCATGTGGCTGCCCACCATGAGGCAGCCTCTGGTCACAGAAGCCCTCAGAACTCACACGGCATGCACACACGTTGCTTTCTTAATGATGAAAACAAGTTCATTTTCAGAGGAGTGGGCAAAATAAAAGCATGTTCCAACCACAGATGATGGTGGTCGTCTCGAGATGCTCCATCGCCCACGATCGTTTCCCTGTGCCTTGATGCATGTAGCAGCACCTAACACACGAAAACATGCATGTCTATGATCAGAAAGAGAAGTACTTAACAACACTTGCAAAAAGTATCAGAAGGGCCTGTTCTGGGGCGGATTGCACGCTACCTGAGGAGCACGGTGAGGCTGGTGCATCTCTCCCCTTTCCCGCACCTACACACACACCGTCCGGACACCTCCCTGCACATGGGGACCGGTCATTAGATCCGAGGGGCCACAGAGGCAACAAAGGGCAAAACAGAGTTTAAAAACAGCATTTGATTTTTCAAACAAAAGTCTCTCTGTCTGGCAATCCCAAGAAGCCCTTGCTGGCAGGGGTGCCATTATGACCACAACTTTCTGAGGCTTGCATCGTTACAGGGTCTGCTGACATTGCCATCCACAGGGCACACACACCATGAGCGCAGGGACGGTGTCTGGCTTGTGGTTTTACAAAGACCCAAAACACACTCGGGGGCGTCCGACCTTGGAGGCTGCCCTCAGCCGTCTGACATCGCCAGGCCAAGGCAAGGGAACCCTTCAGAAGGGGTGCTGGAGAGTTCGGATAACGGTGGTGAAAGTGGCCTCTGCCGTGGGGACGGTGTTGCCAAGGCACACGGCAGGAGAGAGACCTGTCCTGCTCTAAAGCCCTTGAATTTAAGAGGTAGCCAGATCCTCATGGGGACCCGTCCGGTGCACAGCTGCCAGCAACCATCAAACAGAAATATAACGTGAGCATATCTGTAATGTCTGATTTCTTAGCAGCCACATTACAAAATGCAAAAAGAAACAGGCAAATTAATTTTCATGGTGGATTTGTATTTAGCACAGTGAATCCAGACTGTTATCATTTTAATATATGATCAGTATAAACTAACAGTGAGAGATTTTAATTCTTTTCTTTCATGCTACACTTGTCTTCAAGCCCTGGTGGGCACAGTTACCTCAGAGCGTCTCAAGCGGGTGCAGCCACATTTCCCGTGCTTGGGACCCACATGGGAGCTCGCCGTGTGGGCAAAAAGCAGCTTGCATGCTAATCGAGTGCCCAGGAAACACTCCCGTTTTATTTCAACACTACAGAACCCCACAGACTAGTGAGCAGAAATGCATGTAGAACCCCCAGCAAGCCTGGGGTGCGGGCTGGGGCCAAAGGCCCACGTTGGATATCACTGCCTGCTACTTAGGCTTTAATCCCCATTGACAAACATCGACCTTCAAGAGAACTCATGCCTTTAAACAACCACAGTCTCAGGGAAAATGGCCCATCGCACTGTCTCTGTGAGTGAAAAAAATAAAAATGGTATTCTCGGGGCAGATTCTATCCTCCTGGTTGGGGAATACATCCTCCGCGTGGCCTCATTCTGTGTTACAGGATAATGGAGAGATTTTGCAATCAAAGTGGACTTCAGGCAGGAAGTGAGGGCGTGTGGGCGACTGTGACTCTGTCCCCAGCAGAGCAGCCAGTGTCCTGGGGAGTTTCCAGGGGGACAGAGCCTCCCTGCTCAGGCTGGCCTCCCGGACGGACACCGGGCCTTCCCTGGGCCGGTGTCCTGACATCTGTAAAATAGCCCATTAACCCATCGTTAGGAGGTGGAAAAGGCGTGACTTTTTACTACTTAAAACCAACTCCTTTCCACTTTTTCTTCTAGGAGACAATGAATTCCAAAAGAAAAATGCTGCTTTTGATTTCACGTGTTTTATCCCTCATGTTGGTCAAGCATCATTTCAGGTAATCATAAAACTCTGTGGAAGCAAGACCAGTAGTGATGGGCAGAGATGACGTCAACTGCCGAGTCTTGGCCGAAGGTGTGACAGACACTTTTGAAATTAAGCGGTTATCATCTCCTCTCTGTGGGACAAAGAAAAGCAGACATCCCTTAATTCTTCCATTTTTAACGTCCAGCAGTCATCCACGGAGAGCCGTCTGGGCACCGGGAGCCGGGGGAGCAGCCGCGCCCCGCAGCGTCGGCGCTTCGGGAGCCCCCATCCCGATGGGCGAGGCAGGAGCCAAACAAAGCAGGGGGACCGGGAGTGCTGCACTTTACGCAGTACGTGTCCCGAAGACGAAATAAGGCAGGTAAGAGGGAGCACCAGGTTGCTCTTTCAGCCAGACTGAACTGTCTCAAAGTTCCAGCTTGTGTCTGACGTGAGCGAAGCTGAAGGTGACCTGCTCCAGGGCCTGGGTGCTCTGGGGGCCCGTCTGCCAGACAGACAACGTCCAGTTCTCAACTTCCTCTGCACCCCTCCTCGTGGTCTCTTTGTAAGTGTGCGATCTTCCCACACGCTCTCCGAAAAACAGTCTCTTATCAGACCAGAAATAGACTCAGAGACACAGAGGACAGGCCGGCGGTCGCCACAGGGGACAGGGTTGGGGTGGGCGGGCGAGACAGGTGGGGAGGAAGAGCAGCAGCGACGACGTCTGGTGCCTCCATCAAGGGGACGGACGCATGAGTGACACGCGTGGCCTCACGCATGAGCTGTCCTTTAAGATTTGTGCATTTTACTGTATGTACCTCAATAAATAATTTTCTTTGAAAATCATCATGTGAGAGATAATGGCTTTAAAATTTAAACTTTCACAAAATATGTATTTGATAAAAGGATTGCACCCAAAATATGCAAAGAATTCTTAAAACTCAACAATAACTTAACTAAAAAATGGGCAAACTCTGATGAGACATCTCACCAGAGCAGATATGAAGACAGCAAATGGGCGATGAAAAGACGCTCAACATCACCTGTCATTAGACAACTGCATAAAAACAACGAGCTGCGTCTGCGCCCCGTCAGAATGACCGAAACAGAGGACCACGACCCTGCCGGTGCCGGCGAGGACGGGCAGCAGCAGGAATTCTCAGGCCTGCTGGTGGGAACGTGGACGCTGCCGCCGCTGGGGGAGGGGGGCAGTTTGTGGATTCTTACAAAACTAACTATAGTCTTTTCAGTGATCCAGCAGTGATGTCCTTGAGCATTTAATCCACATGATTTCAAAACTTATGCTCACAAACTGCCTGCACTTGTTGTTTATAGCAGCTTTATTCATACTTGCTAAAAACTGGAAGCAAGCAAGATGTCCTTCAGCAGGTGACTGGATAAACTGTGTTCCATCCAGGCAATTATTCAGCATGAAAAAGAAGTAGGCTGTCAGCCCTGAGAAGATATGGAGGAAACGTAACAGCACGTTACTGAGCAAGGGGAGCCGGTCTGAGAAGGTCCCATTCTGTATGGTTCCAGTCACACAGTGTTCTGGGCAAGGCAAGGCTGCACAGACAGCGAAGGGTCAGTGATTGGGAGCAGGGGTGAGGGGGGCGGTGGCCAGGAGAGGCGCAGAGGGTTTGGAGGGGAGGGGACTGTAAGCAGTCTGTGTGACCCTGAAATGGTAGACGCATGACACCGCACAGCACTTCACAATGCAAAGACTGAGCCTTAACATACGTAAGTTAAAGAATTGTTTAGGGGCCGAGGAGTCCCAGGAGGAATGCTCAGTGAGAGAAAGTTGGTCACCTACTGGCGCTGAGGCAGGCGCCCC